AGATAGATAAGTAGGGACTAATAACAGGGGACTGATAAACAGGGAGAGAGAGCGAACGAGCGCATATCTCTAATGTGTGGAACAAGTTCACAAAATTTGCTTACAAATTTCCAATTCGAATTGAATAACTTTTATATCTGACCGAGAAAAGCCAATTTGTTATATCCCGATCTTCTCTGATTCTCTTTCTCTTTTTTCTGTTCTCTGTTTACATCTGTTTTCCAGTCCAGTCGCGACTTTAACATTCTTTACTGCTGTTAAGTGGTCCGAAGATAGTGTTATATAACGAGAGTAGATCATCGAATGTTGCCCCATCGGCTCGCCAAATTTGTCCACCTCGAATTTCTTGCATTGCTTTGGTAACGCTTCCCACAGCTTTGCACAGCAGCATCGATAATTGGCATTGACAGTGTTGCATAACGCCAAGAAGATTCTTTATTGAAAAGCCGCCACTCTCGCTGCGTCTTTTAGTAATGACAGTGCTCTGCGCAGCGTCGCGTGCTCTCAAATTGTTACCGAATCTGCATTCATCGAGTGAAAAATAATAATTAATTGATTGATTGAAAATTGCTTTGGATTATCTGCAATGATGTGAGTATAAGTGTATTTGCGCTGCGACTTGGCCAGCGTGGCTAGCCCAAGCTCGCTATCTATGGCATTTGTTTAAATGTCAGTTAGTCAGTTTGCCAGGCAGTCAGTCAGGTTAGTCAGGTCAGTCTGTCCGTCCGTCCGACCGTCCGACTGTCCGTCAGGCTGGTCGCATTTGCAAGTCGTTAAATGCTTTTGTTGCTTCACATTGTCGTGGCGCACACTTGCAGCTGCAACAGTTTTGCTGCCGCCGCTCCTGCTGCCCCTCCAGCTGCCGCTGCTGCTGCTCGACTCCTGCTGCTGTTGCTGTTGTTGCAGTTCGTTTCGTGTCGCTGGCATTGTCAATGCTTCGACTTCCTTCCGCTTTGGCTAACAAATTTGCGTCGTGCATGCAGGCCAGGCAAACATAATCATCATTATTGCTGCAATCAGCATATTTGGCAGGCTCAATGCGGCCCGCCTCCTGCTGCCTTACATTGTTCATCCTGCGGGACACAAGAAAGAAAATAACACGGAAATATTGTAAATTTTATGCCGTTCGCTACTTCAGCGGCAGCAGCGACAGCAGCAGCAGCAGCAGGAGGAGCAGGAGCAGCAACTACTACTACTAACCATAGTTGTGGTTATGCTTAATATCCGTCATTAAAATTGTTGTTTGTGCCGCAACGTGCACTCTCGCTCGCTCCCCCTCCGTCTCCCCCGCCCTCTCCCTCACCCTGTGCAGCCATAGAGGTCAGTTGGAGCCCTGCCTTGCTCTGCAGGTCTCCTGCTCTGGCCTCTGCCTGCCCCCAGGTGCGTGGGCGCCTGCACCGCGTGCCTGTGCCGCTTAGGCGCATCCTGCCACCAACTTCAACTTTCAACTTTAACCCTAGCACACACACACACACACACACACATGCACATGGGCATTATGCAAATATTGTGTGTGGCTCGTGTGTGTTTCTATGGCATTGCACGATAAGAATCCATTGCGCAAAAATTAATTAGTCAATTTGCATGAAATTTATGTACAAAGCGCGAACAAACGAAACGAATTTTGATGTATTCCGCACACATGAAGGAGACACGCGCTGGCTGCCCAGCGCCAGGACTCCTGCCCAAGGGCCACTCGAGTCAGGTGAACGCGAAGGCCTCTCCCTTTCCCTCTATCTCTCTCTCTCTTGAATGAAATAAATATGATATTGGATCTGGCACACAGAGTCAGATTTATATACACTTATAGAGACTGAGTGTGTGTGTGTGAGCGCGCAGTTTGATCGCTCTATAAACAAAAATAGCTGTAACGAGCCTCAGCTGCTTCTATATAAGATCCCAAGCAATTATCGCTCTCGATAATAGTAAGCTCGGAGTCAACTGTCATCGTCGTTGAAGCAGGCACAGCATAGCATAGCCCTATAGGAGCTCAGAATCAGAAAGCATTCAAACACCAAACAAATCACACCAAAAAAATATAAAAAAAATAAAATTTCCAAAAACCGAAAAAAAAAATATATATATAGAAAAAATTTATAAATTCCGAAAAGAAATAACAAACGCTGAAAATAAATCGCAAAGTGAGTGCAAAAACGGCTATAGAATTGTGTATAGAAAAACGCGTAACCCGTTCAGATAGACTAACCGCTTCCTCTCTCTCTCTCTCTCGCTCTCGCTCTCGCTCTACAGGATGGCTATGCATTGGGATGTGAAGTGCGATGGCTGCGACAAGACCCACTTGGTGCACTACAGATACAAGTGTCTGCGCTGCCCCAACTACGATCTGTGCGCTGCGTGCTACGAGAACAAGGTGGAGACGGGACAGCATAGCAACGAGCATCCGTTCCAGTGCCTGCTGGATCGGGCTGCGCGCGAACTGTTCTTTGCCGGCGAGGAGATACCGGAGCTGTGCGCGGACAGCTTCACTTGCCCGTTCTGCGGCAAGATGGGCCACTCCGTCAAGGAGCTGGTGAAGCACATGCAGGCCAAGCATCGCGGCGACAGCACGCCCGTCATCTGTCCGCTGTGCGTGGCGGTGCCAGCGGCGGACACCGTGCGCATGACCAACCTGGTGAACCATGTCTCGCTGATGCATGGCACCGGCATTTTGCGCATCGGCGGCGGCGCCGGCAGCAGCTCGATGCGCACCACCGGCTTCGAGCTGCCGCCCATTAGCGCCTTGTCGGGCCTGGGCCAGGGCCAGGGGCCGGAGAATGAGCTAACCAGTGGCTTGCGCGTTCGCAGCCCACCGCCGGATCCGGCACGCATGGGCGGCTTTCAGTGGCCAGTTGGCAGCCTGGGCATGAGCAGCAGCGCTTCGCAGGAGGAGGACTTCTATCCGGAATCCTGGCTGCCCGAGCTGAGCAGCCTCAGCGGCAGCATGCACACCATGCGCGACACCGATCTTGATCTGAGCAGCCTGGTCGAACATTCGCAGTTGCGCCGCGGCACGCCGCTCGCACTGCTGCAGCAGCAGCAGCAGGAGCAGCTGCAGCAACAGCAGCAGCTGCTGCAGCAACAACAGCAACAACAGCAACAACAGCAGCTGCAGCAGCAACAGCAAAACCAAGGCCAACGGCGCACCCAAAATCCCCCAGTGCCACCGCTCGCCATGGAGGAGGACTTCAGCGACATCGATGCCGAAGACACTGCCGGCAACGACCCAACCTCATCCATTTAGGCGAGGACACTTCATTCAGCATCCAAATTCACGTTTCCATAATTGTTCGCTCATCGCGCAGACATTTCATATATGTTTTTCTAACTCACCCATTCAATAGAGGGTCTACTTAACCAAATAAATGTTTTGCATCTAAAGCTTCTAGTTCTTCGACTGATATGTTCTTGCAGTATATTTCTACTGCCTCTAAAGTTATCTATGATTGACTTGCTCTTTCACAACTACAACCAAAGTTGACTAGCTCTTCTACAATGAGTTATACCCATACTCAAAATATCATCTGGCGATCCGGTACCTAAGTTTCTGCAAAGCTATAAATATCATTTACATTTCGATATCATCTTGAATTCAATTCACATTTTATAGTTCAATTTAAAGCAATGTAAAACACTCTTTTTATCCACTGATAATAATGTAAACTCTAAGTATAATGATTCTGTATGCAACGAACGGCAGCAGGCGTGGCCTAGCCCTTAAATTTGTATGTATTCCTGATCAGCATATTGAGCTGCATCGATGTAACCATTTCCGTCCCTGCTTCGGTCTGTCTATACATGCATCAACGTCTTTCCATCGCTGTCCGTCCATTTGTCCATCTGCGCTCTTGAGCTTTGATCTCGTAGCACCCAAATGCTAGTCTTGCGATTTGAGTTGGAGATTACAGATCGGCTATGCAGGAACGTCACTTGTAATGCATATAAGGAACTTGCATATTTCGTATTTTGGAGGCAACCGATAATATATACAATATATGTATGTATAATAATTATATATGTATCTGTTTGTACAGATTGAAGAACTGCAAAATGTCAAAGATATTCCAGCTCAATTTTATAATATATGTATGTATGTTACTGCATGTATGTATGTACATAGTAATTTGAAGTACAAATATACTGGTCCACTAAGAAGTTAAGGCTTTGAGTAAATTGCGCTGCAGAGCCATAGACAATAAGCATAAAATATAAATAAAATAAATATGTAAACAGTAAAGCTGCAGAAACATCGATAGTCGTTTTCTTTATTTTCTTCAATCGATGTTTCACACTATCGATGTGTGTGCCATGTGTATCGATAGTTGCGATTATCAGCTCTAATGCTTATAAGAAAAATATTTTGCTGTTTTCATTTTAAGCTTTGACATTTTATAAAAAAGATAATACAAAATAGAAATAGAAATTTAAGTTTCTTTATTAGACTTTTAGA